TAAATATAGCTCTCTGTAGAATTGTGTGCACTTTTTTTTTTTAAGTGGCAAAGCTAAAAAGAAAGAAAAAAAAGCCTATGGCTACACCCGCTTTTTTTGTAAATCATATATTTTTTTTGTATATAGCTTGATTATATCTGAATTGTACCTGTATTTGTTGACATTTACAACTTGTGTCTACATTTTAAACCTTTTAAAAATGCTTCATTGAGCATGTTTGTGTTTTTTGTAGTAGAAAAGCTATAATTTTTCTATTCGGATTTTGTGTTTTTTGTGTGATTTTGGGTCCAGTATGTTGATACAGTAGACCAAAGTGAAAAAGTAATTGTCTGGTCATATAGGTGATGATGTGCTGAAAAAAATGATACCAAAAATTAGTATGGTAAACATTTGTTTATGTCGCAAATTAAAAAATTAAAAAGTACTCAAAAAGGGCCAAAATAGCCCAAGACTCTGAAGGGTTAAGAAACAGCACCAAATAAACATCAACATCAAAGCACAATACACACACCATGGCAGAAAGTAATATACAGAAGTCGCTTACAAAGTTAGGTTAAAGATACAAACAAAGAGGGATTCAAACAAATAACATGTCCATAACAAGGTACTATTTACAGACGGAGAGCTGGAGAGTAATATTCAGAGAAAAAAATGTGTTTTTGAAGGAGAGACGGGTGGATGTTTTGAGCAAGACTATTTCACAACACTGAAAGACCTTGCTCTCATATTCACCAGACTAAACAATCCCACACTAGAAGAGCGTAAGGGACGAACAGCATAAGGCGGAAGGAAGTCAGATAAGTATGTAGGAGCAAGGTTATGGAGAGCTGTGTAAGTGAGGATTAGTACCTTGAAGTTTATATGCAAGGAAACCGGAAGCCAATGAAGGTGATGTGCTCAATCTATCTTGTGTGAGTCCGGCCGGAGCAAAACTGCCGTGATGCGGAGATGACGCGGGCATTTTATACAGCAGGAACAAAACTAGACCAGAAAAATGGGAAAGTGCAAATTCCAGCAGAAGTGGCTGGAAGACAGTTTAACGCTGTTAAAATATTGAACGTAATTAACGCAGCATTTGGCTAGCTTTACATTATATGATCCCGGTCTTGGGATTCTTGCAAATGCTTTGAACCTGAACTTGTCTTGAACTAACAGTAACACACAATTATGCCAAAATGTCAGTTTTGTCGAGAATCCTCATAGCATGTGGTGGCCGAGAGAGCTCAACGCGCTGGAACTGAATAAAACACATGCAAATAGAAAAAAAAGCGTGCAAAAAGAAAAAAACACATGCAAAATAAAATAAAAAGCAAGCAAAAAAAAAAACGCGTGTAAATAAAAAAACACCCGCAAATTAAGAAAACATCTTCATCAGTTTCATAACACACGTCTGCTCCAAATACTCACAACACCACCAAATAAAGAACGCGCTGCAAATAACACAGAGCACAACGGAAATGTTTCCAGGGGAACCAAATAAGTGCCGAACCCGGCTGGGACGTGCTGGCATAGATATCCATAAATCTATGCGTGCTGGTGCTTACAGCTTAAAATTATACTTTATTTATTTATTTGTGCAAAACATACATAGATTAAATTTTTTTATGCCATACAACTTGTATACAATGTACAAAATGTATTAACAATATGTTCAATGTCATCAGAATACAAATGAGAAAAGAACAATGAGCTGGAAACAAAATAAATAAAGAAAAAAGATAAAGAAGAAAAACATGAAGGAAAGATATTTATCTATACATCAGTTACACTGTACAAATTGTTTCATGTTATTACATTTTCATAAAGAAAAGTTTCGTAAGAAATGTTAGGTAATGTAGGGTCCAAAATTTTTAAGTTGAGACACAGATATATAACGCATATTTTAAAAGCTTTTTTGTAAACTAAAAATAAAAATGTATTTGCATCCGTTATGTTAACAGCATTATATTTCTGTGGTAAGACCAGCTGATGGACGCTGTGCTGCGTTGTCATGGGAACATCCCAGGTGAAAATAATGAGGAATTACGTTGTCTGTCGTTGCTCCTTCATCAAGTGCGTTCCACACGGCTACATAACAGCACACTAGAGCCTTGCTCACTCCACAGTCCCACTTTAAGGGCTCTGCCGTCTGCCCTTCGAAGGGAGTATGGCATAGGGAAGCTCACGACCAATAAGCACGTCCCAGCCGGGTTCGTCACTTATTTGGTTCCCCTGGAAACATTTCCGTTGTGCTCTGTGTTATTTTGCAGCGCGTTTTCTGTATTTGGAGCACACGTGTGTTGTGAAACTGATGATGTTTTTTTCTATTTGCACGTGTGTTTTTCTATTTGCATGTGTTTGCTTCTGTTGCAGCGCGTTGAGCTGTCTCGGCCACCGTACAGAATATCCGCAGCACAGTTTACTTGTAACTGATTTCGCAGATAATTTGTTTCATACTATAAATACATTTTTCATCCATTTTGTTCGGTTTGCTCTGCTGGTTGATGTCGTTGTACAGAAAGAATGTTGTGACAGTTGGTCGGTGTGGTATTAGCCCGCCCCTCCTCCACTGTGATTGGACGGCTGGGTAAAAAGTGACAGTAATGAGCGCTGCGTTTTACCCAAAGTTGAACATTCTTCAACTCTCGACGACCAGTAAAAAACGCTTCAGCGTGAAAAAAACGCTCAGCGCCTCGTTACCATAGACTGTAAAAAAAGATGGACGACGCCCCTTCGCTCTCTTCCATTGGTCAGAAGTAGGGGTGGAACGGTACATGTATTCGTATCGACCGAAACGGTACGGGCGTCACGGTTCGGTGCACGAATTTGCACGGAGAATACACGGTACAAAAAAAAACAACTCTTAAATAGCGATACATTTCGCTTTATTCGCTTTTGGTGTGACTGTGAACGCAGGCTGCGATCAAGACTGTGATCAAGATTGCAGTGCTGGAGAGAGAGAGAGAGAGAGAGAGAGGGAGAGAGAGAGAGAGAGAGAGAGAGAGAGAGAGAGAGAGAGAGAGAGAGAGAGAGAGAGAGAGAGAGAGAGAGAGAGAGAGAGAGAGAGAGAGAGAGAGAGAGAGAGAGAGAGAGAGAGAGAGAGAGAGAGAGAGAGAGAGAGAGAGAGAGAGAGAGAGAGAGAGAGAGAGAGAGAGAGAGAGAGAGAGAGAGAGAGAGAGAGAGAGAGAGAGAGAGAGAGACGCGATTAACAGTATGTGTGTGCGCGCGCGCGTGTGTGAGAGAGAGAGGCGGGGCGCGAATCGCGCGATCGAACTGTGTGTGTGTGCGCGCTGCGCCGTGCGAGAGAGAGAATGATCTCTCCTGCGCAATCGAACAGTGGAAACATAAAAACATACTCCGTCTTTTTTATACAGGACATCATTAAAACTGCAAATTGTTACTTATATTTGTGTACACTCGCAATAAAACACTACATTGTGCTTTTGTCACACTGTAAACTCTTGTCGAACTGTAACCTACAACTGTTAACAAAAGTTTTGAATGGTAGTATTATTTTATACGGAAATCAACTATTTATAATTCAGATGAGAATAAAGTTAGGGTTAACTAAAATGAAGGAAAACAAATATATTGATCTGAAATAGCAAATTAATTTTAAATTCATTCAGGTACAATTACCAAACATATCTCAAGGTCTTTTCATCTTTTTATTATTGTCAGTGTACTACAAATAAACTGGTTCTATGCCTTTATTAATAAAACTTATTTTAAAAAAATACAAGGCTTAAGACATTTATAAAAATGCCTTCTGCATTTTTGTTTTGCTTTTCACTCCATTGTACCGAAATTATACCGAACCGTGACGTCTGAACCGAGGTATGAACCGAACCGTAACTTCTGTGTACCGTTCCACCCCTAGTCAGAAGTGAAGCCGCCAGTGTCCCGATATGGCGCTGACATCTTGAACTTGAGTCTGGGCAGAAGCGATCTCGGGACCAGACCTGCGCAGTCGTGAGCCGGAAGTAAAGCCGCAAAATCAAGACCCCGCCCCCTCACTCTCGCTGAATCAATCACAAGCACACGCTCCTGCACTTTTTTTAAACTTAATTATAGAAATTTAGATATTAAATTTAAAGCTCCAATCTCCTCAGTCCTCCGAAGATCCCGAAAAAGTCTGTTGGTGCTTCAGTGACGACATCGCTCAGAGAACCTGTCAATCACAGCTGTCAATCATGACGTCACCACCACCGCATCAAATAACTAACTAAAAACAAACTTATTTTAAAAACAAACACTTGAAATTACATCAGCGTGATAAAAACTACAGTAAATGACAGAAACCATATTTGGAAAAACGATATTTGAAGTGTAATTTAATTGTTTAGTTGGTCTCACTTGCCGTTGAATAACACGGGGAGGCGGGGTTTATGAGCTATACTAGGACCGGCCACCGGGGGGCGATCGAGACGCTTTGGCTCCACTTTTCAGGGCTTGTGCGGCACGCTTGCTCGTTACGCGGCGCTCCCATTGAAAACAATTGAAAAAATACGTCAGGCGCGTGAAAAAAACGCTTTGGTGGACACACGGCCTAAAGAACTTTCGTAGCTTTAATAAGGATTAGTCTATTTTTAATCTATAATTTAAAAATTTTTATAAAAGGCATTCAATTTAATTTGAAGATGCCTGCAGAGACCCTGGTGAGCGATCAAGCGGGCGGCAGAGTTTTGAACATATTAATTAGGGGTGTAACAATACATCGATATGGATCGATATATCGATCAAATGTCTAACGATACAATGTATCGATGCAACATGTAAAAAAAACTAATTTTTTCAACAAGAGAGTTCAGTATCGTGATATATCGAATCGTGAGGGTATAGTTACACCCATAAAAATCATAGATGATCAGTGAAACATCAGAACCCTGGTTTTAAAGCATGTATTGCCATGTTTTTCTTCTCTGCTGTCTCTTAGAGGTCTGTTCATCATCGATGATAAAGGTGTCCTCCGGCAGATCACCATGAATGATCTTCCAGTGGGCCGCTCCGTTGACGAGACCCTCAGACTGGTGCAGGCCTTCCAGTACACTGACAAACACGGAGAAGGTGCGCATTTATTCATACTTTTACATCCTTTTTAAACCCCTAGTTTCATCTGAGAGACTTATTGTTTTAGACTTTCATCAGTTAATAATCTGAATGATAGATTACAACAGTGTTTGCTAGAGCTGCCAAAGTTAATCAATGTTTAATCTCTTTCAATCCTTAAAATATTTTAATGCAAATACAGAGTTTGAGATTCAAAACGGTAGAAAATGGGTTTTCCTATTGCTTTATAAGAGTTGTTATTGTCAACAAACCATTAAAAATACAGTAGTTTTCAGTTATTGAAATACAGCTTAAAAGTAATGATAAGTATTAGATGAAAAACTTGTAAAACTTAAATTAGAAATGTTGCCTTGGCAACTAAAGTTTAAATAGCACTAAAAATATATATAGACCAATTTTCAGTTGGTAAACATGGTGACGTTTTTATGTGGGCGGAGCTTAAGTGGTGGCAGAACGATCCCTCTGGCCGCTTCACTAACGTAAAGTCTGCAAGTTTTGTTAGCTTGTTTTTAACAATGACTGGAGAAAATCCGATTTTATCTTAATGTGCAAGGTCGCTCACTGTCCAGGACCGCGATTGTTATTTGCAAAAGTTAATTTTAACGGACGGAACCAGATTGGCTGACCCGTACACTCATTGAGGATCTGACAGGATTAACGTTAACGCTACCTCCGGTTGAGTGGCCTGACTTCTACACCTACCTGATAGAGAAACAGAGGGCATGTAAATCTTTAGATGCCTATAACTATGTGCTGAATGGTCATGTACAAGACTTGTGTGGTACGATCCGCAGTTCTGCCTAGCCAGCGCCGAGAAGACGACAATGTAAAGAGGGACATTACGGTGCAATTTTAATGAGGTGAATATTTCTAGAAATAAAAAATTGCAGATAAAGCATATTAATTTTTCATTGATTCTTGCACCCAACAACACAACAAGATGACATTTAATAATAATAAGAAGAATTTAAGATCCTTATTTTGTAGCCGAATCTGTGCTGGTTTGTATTTGCCGCCTCCAGTTTTCCCTTTGTTCTGCCACCAGCTAGCGCCGTGACGTAACTGTGACGTCGGCTGAAAATTGGTCTATAGAACTATTTAAAAATAAACTAATAAAAAATGACTAAAACGCACCAAAATTACTACAATTAAAATCTAGACTAAAAATATAAAAATAAAAGCAAATTCAAAATATTGATAAATACTAAAACAATATATAAGTAATACTAAAATAATACTGGTTCAGGAGTGTCATCAGATGATGAAGTGAATTATTATTATTATTATTATTATATATTAAATAAATAATATATTATTAAATAACATCTGGAGTATCTACATATTTATTTCTAGTAATTGTGCTTTGGAAGGCAATGACCAAAAAACGTAAATTCAGCTCAGAAATGGGTTAAGAGATTTAATTCAGAATTAAAGTAAACGCTTTACTCAACTAACCAGAGAAATCAGTCTTTTTTTTTTTTTAAAAATGTTTACATGATTAAATAGTGTTCAAAAAAATAAAGGATATTCTTTTAAATGTATGCCTTGTCAGTATTCTTGTTAGTAGATTTAAATTAATTTTCCATGAAAAATTGTATATGATGATATGCCAAAATGTTGAAATGAAGAGTCCAGTATCTCTTAATCATATTTTTTTTGAATTGATATGGTTTAAATTCTCTTAACAAATTATATAACCCAGCAAACACTTCAGAATATTGTTTTTTTAACATTGAACCTTGAATCCATTTCTGTTTTTATCTAAAGCAAATTTTAAATTGGTGTTTTATAGTTTTTTAACTTGTTACTTGCCATCAAAATAGCCAGGGAAGCTGGCATGGCTTTAACCTGTTAAGTGTCACCCCCCTTTTTTTGAATATACATGAAAATGCACATTTCGAACTTAAATGGTTGTAATTCAAGAATGCTTTTGAATATAGACGTAAGATTGGTCTCGTTTTAAAGACGACATTTTGTAGAAGTGAAATAAATTAAGTGAAACAGAAAAAAAGTTATAGAAGTTTGAGTTTATGAAAATGTACAATGTAAAACATTTATAAAATATATATTTTCAAAACTTGGGCGACTCTAAAACCGCAAACAAAATCAAAGCCAAAAATCTGAACAAGTTGTGTTTCAAATTTTAGGTTGATATCTCAAAAAATGAGCTTTCAGTAAGATTGTTTGGGCGCAGTACCGAACTCTTCCACTAGGGCACAACCAGACTCCATTACTGCCCATATAAGGGCGCCTCCATTTCCATATGTGTTTGAGTGATATGAACCATTATTTCCACAATTTTCATACAATTTATGAAGTAGAGATCCTATTCAGAAGTAATTTGAGAAGTTTGGCAAATTTTGATATGAATTCAACCTCTAAGAAACACATAAAAAGAACAAGTATGTGCGTTGTAGCTCGCTGCCACATCACAAATGGTGAATCTATAATTTTTTTCTTTATATTTAAAAAAATTTCAGAACTTTTTTTTCTAAAATAATTGAATGGATGCTATCTTTTGAACTCTTGGCATGAAAACCAACTGAGGTTTCTACCCTTCTTTCATGATTTTTCATGTTCATCACTATTTCAAAATAAAGGTCTAAACACGCCTTAGGAGTGTGAAAATATTCTAGTTGCAAATTGATAAATTACGGCTCCTCTGTAATGGTTGAAAATCAATCACCAAATATAGAAACTTAGGGATTGTAAGCTTTCAAATGATATATAGTTTGTCATGATTAGTTTAGGTTTAGTATAGGATATTACTGTTTTAAAAATGTAATGGATTTGGGCCCACCGGTGGTAATAAACTGTTGTAATATAAATAGCTTATATCACACTTGAATTAGAAGTATAAGAGCATGCACTGACATAAATGTAAGTTGTGTGAGTTTTGTTTCTGGTGTTTCTGACTCTGTCTGTCTGATATCAGTGTGTCCGGCTGGATGGAAGCCTGGCAGTGACACGGTAAGACTTGACCTGGATTTCAGTGTGTGTGTGTGTGTGTGTGTGTCTCTCTGCAAATATATACAGTGACTCTGTCTCTCTCTTTCCACACAGATCATCCCAGACCCCGCAGGCAAACTCAAGTACTTTGATAAACTCAAATGAGGTTAATGTTTCACTGGAGGTTTTTGTTCGGGTTTGTTTCCAAAGTGCAGAATAAAAGGAGAGTTTTGATAAACACGTAGTCTGTGATATGTGTCTGATTGTTCGTATGCCTGGAGAAGAACTGGTTTCCCATGTCATAGAAATGAATGAAATATTAGCCATAGACAATAGAAATTTCAATTGAGAAAGTTCTACCGCATTTAAAAAGACTTCACAATTAGGTCTCATTTGTTGACATTATTTAAAGGTGCATTGCGCAACACTTCATGTTAAAAATAGCCGTTTTTCTAACCCATACATGCTTAAACAATTGCCTGATGGGCTGAAAGAGCCCTTCTCTGATCACTGTGATTGCCTCTATAATCCTGTACAGTAAAATAAATAAGAGGGATTCGGGACGGAGTTTGAGACTGGGCGTGATGTCACGCGCGTTCACGCTCACCTGGCTATGTCTGGCAGGTTTGTGTATTCGCCGCCGTTCTCCATATCAGCGAAGATAACTCGAGCGACAAAACTTTAGTCAACTTTCGACAAAAGTAGAAGATGGATTCTAAGAGACCGGCTTGTAGTTCATAAACCCCAACGCAAACTCCTCGTAAGACAAAGAAAAGACAACTTTTGTCTAGTGCCTTCAAAAGGGCCAAACTGGAGTCAGACAGGCGTCGGAATAAGACGAGAGTCAACATCGGGAAGGCTTTCAACAAATGGAGAGATCTCCGGTCTGCTCTAGGGCTCAAACGGGAATCTCAGTTGGCTTTTTTCTTGATAAAACGGTTCATGAACGTGTTTCCATAATAATACAATCATAAGTGGATACAGTAAACACATAAAACAGTTCAACATGGAGATAGATGGAAACAAAAACCGAAGTTTTCTACTACCCCCGTTTTCCCCTCACACGTATAGCCCCGTTCACACTACACGCGACCAAGCGATGCGATACCATTCATTTCAATGGTGAGCAGGCGACTTCCGGCGGCATGCGCAACAGCGACCGTTGGCGACTAGATGGGGCGTGTCTGGCGACGCGACAAAGTTGAGAAATTTTTAACTTTATGCAAATGAAGAGCGATTTTCGCGAGCGACAACCAATAGGAGTGGAGCGCACGGGATCCTTCTCCTCAGCCCCTGCTGAGCCCCTGGGCCTGCAGTGATAGCGGCAAGAAAGCTGATTCGCTGTCTTTTGGATGTCATACTAGTCAACCAGTAGTGGGAACGCCCACTAGCGACCTCATCGCCAGCGGCTGGCGACTTGCAGCGACAAAGTCGCGTGTAGTGTGAACGGGGCTTAAGTGTTTAATTTACTCAAATGCCTTTCCGTTCATATATTTAAAGGCACACTGCGGAACTTTTGGCCACTAGTGGCGCTCGACCTGTAACTTTCACGTCTAGCGTCCCTAGAGGCCACAAGCTCCGCAGCACTGTCGCAAAAGTCAACAAAAAGTCAACCGGTCCGCCCATAGACAGTGGGTCAGCCTCCCGTGTCTTTAGATTGTGTGTGCTTGCAGTGTTTGAGGCGGGCAGCCTGGCCGCGCTCGATTCCCTTATAGCAGTCTGCTGAGAGAGAGCGAGCGGCTTAGTGCTAACATGTCTGTGAGTGAATGTGGGCGCGGGACGGCGGGCACATTTACTGCACTAAAATCACCGTCGGCCTGAGCTGACTGTAACTTATGTGTGTTGGTTTCGTTTTACAGAAACCGTGGGACATGTTGTGTGTAGTGTTTGTGGGCACTGAGTCGTGGGAACGTTCACTACATTTAATGTACATTTGACATGAGTCGATTTTATTTGTGCGAGCCCTGCACTGTGGCGGGCTGTGTTTGTGTGTAGAAATGAACAATGGGCTGTGGGCATTTTATTACACTCATAACACCATCGGCTGTGGCCGGAATACCAGAAAATACTACACTGCTTATTTGATTTATCTGTGTCACCTTGGAAACGGCATTTGTGTGCAGGCAAGCGTCAGCATCGGTCGGGCACCCATCCTCCTCCTGTAGCTCACGCCAGCGAGCAAACGCTGGACCAATGGTGATCCTCATCCTGGCTTTTCATTTGTCACTCTCCCTTTTTCTTTTTTTTAGTGTCCTCTGACAAAACCTTTGCCTTCTTCCTTGTAGCTGTTGGTTCGGCCATGACGAAAACATACAGACGGCAATCAAACGCGAGTTGAGCACTCACGTCAGAATCTGAGGAAGTTGGGGTGGTGGGGGAAGTGACGTATGCCGTAAAGCAGTCGAATTTTGTAGTTCTTTTTGTGCTCGGTTTCCTACCCGAACCCCGAAGTTACATAGTGCTAGGAAAAGCGATACAGACACCTTCAGGCTTCGGCAGACGTGTCATTCAACCTATTGTAAGTCGATGTACCATCTCAATGGGTTTTGGTAATATATTATAAAGGTTGAAAAGTTCCACAGTGTGCCTTTAAAATGACTTGCAGATTTATAACTTTATTACCTCTGAAAACATTGACTAAACAAGATTTGTGCGGCTGATGCTCCTTTGGTTATGAACAGCTCGTGCTCGTGCAAGCGTGTGTGTGGTCCATGAGCGTGCACACCTATGGTTGCAGTTTCGCTTGTCGCCAGAGGGGGCGTAGTTCTGCAAAAACTCAGAGACTTGCGCAATGCACCTTTAATACGTTAACGTAAACCTTTGATAATGTTGGTTAATGTTTATGTGCATTAAATAATGTTAACAGACACAACGTTGGATCTTGAAAATGTACGAGTAAATTAACATGAACTAAGATTAATAAATGCTGTCAAAGTATTATTAGTTCATGTTAACTAATGAAACTATTGAAAAGTGTTACTGAATTGTGTTATTTGAGATATTTGTATTAGGGTTATTATAGTTCACTAAAAATAAAACCATAAAGTTTGCTACTTGAAAGAAAATAAATAGTAATTAAAAAATAAAATATTTATTTTAACTAATTGCCAAGTGTGTCACAACTCAACAAGATTACTAAAGCTTAACTAACATTTAAAATGATATATAAAAACAAAAATAAAAACTATCTCAAACTACTGCTACTGAACTATAATAGTATCATAATGATACTTAAAGAATGCAGCTTCGTATAATGGTTTGAATCCATTCACTCCACAGATTGGTGTCTGAAATGCAAATTAAAAAAATAAAGTTCTGTAGTTTTAACTCGTTAGCTTTGGAAATTCATTAGTGAAAGAAAGGTGTGGGAATCCTGAAAGAAACACATACTGGATCCGACCCGTCTGACACTAGAGGGAGATGTGGTGCAGTTTGTGAAGCGCAACCAGCAATCCTGAAGTGAAAGTAAATAATTAGTGTGATGCTTTGTAAATGCAATACTTTCTAATTGAGTTGAGAGTGAATTTCCAGAGTTAAACGACTCTGAATAGGAAACATTTGATTGTTTTTAAAGGGGTCATGACTTAGATTTTTGTGTTTATAAGTGAACCTCAAGGAACATTATAAATGTTGCAAAATAAATATGCAAGCAGATGCATATGTAAAATTACACAAATAATCAACATAAATAAATTAAAACTGAATTCAATGCCACTCGCTATTGCAGGAGTAAAACATTATCCATATAAAACAGAGGCGCAAGCAAACTATTCACTGATGTCATATGCAAATAAATTGACATCATAGATCCTGCAATATCCAAACGAGCCGTTTTTGAAGCTTGATTAAAAAAAATGCTTTGTTTATGGAGGACGTTCTTGCAGGATGTTTTAGTGGTATAAAGACCTCTTATATGTCACAAGATCAAGGCAGATTTGATTCTTCATGTTGTGACCCCTTTAAGGAAAGGCCTCTATTAGTGAAACACGTGCAGCTGCCATAATAATGTTCACTGTTAAAGACTAGATAAGCCTGTTATTGACCCCGTCACAGACAGCCAAAGTGCAAACATAACTGCCAGGCAATAAACTTATGTTAAATCTTTATGTTGAGTAAAGCCCATAAAGCTTTGCTGCAATTTCAGTATTATGAACTGTAACAGAACTGAAGTAGTGCTTTAGAATAGATGATCATGTTCTCAGTGATGTATATTTATGTAATATTTGGGTTTCCATGGTCAGAAACTATGAAATTGTCATGAAGTTGCAAAGGCCAAATAGAGAAAATCCTAAAAGTCATCGATATTTCTATAATGTATATAATTTTTTCCAGTTTCTGTTAAAAAACTTGAGCACAAATCGCATGGATATTCATTGGTCATAAGGTGCAGGAACCTTCTAATACTTAAAAAACTATAACTAGTGTCTCGAAGTGTTTGAATGTCACGATACTGCAAAAAAAACTGCTGAATTTGCATCCCAATAGTTTGTCTTTTGTTTTGCAGCACAGTTATATATATATATGTATATGATAATACTCTATTATGATTCTCAAAATAGCCAGAACAAAGGGACTATTTTCTTTGTAACACGAGTGCTGTGGAGAATTGCTCCTGATTTTACTAGACTGTGTTTTGGTTTATGCAGTAAAGGTCAATCAGATGTTTGGGTCAAAGGTGTAATCCGAAATGTTTTCCACGAAAAATACTGACAGTTTTGTGTCAGGAACAACGGAAAACTCTGCATATGAAGTTACTCAGTGCTAATTCTGTTGTAATATTAGCTGTACAAACCAACTGTAAGTCAGGGTGTGTTGAAAACACACAAGAGCAAATCATGGCAAAATACAAAGACAAACTCATGGCAAAACAGTCCACCAACTGCCTGGAGCACATTAGCCCTGATTTATCAAACATTTGCATATTTAAAATCATATGCAAACCTGACAAAATGCACAAATTGCTGATATTTATAGTGTTTTTAATAGGATTTAAATGGATTTTTGTAAGCTTGTGCAGATTTCCCTCAACCATCATTTATATTCATGATGTGCTTTTGGTTCTTAATAAATCATGATGTTTAAACTCATTTTGTTATTTACTTCAAAAAGTATGCATTGACTTTAGGTTTTGAATTTAATTTGTATTACTTTTATTGACTGACATTTGACTTTGTGATTGACTATCCACTTGTTGATTAGCAAACGTGTTATTTGTTTATTGCTGAGTAAATATTATGTAAAATAAGTGTTTATTTTAATGCACATTTTATTTTGCTGACATTATTATGGATATATCAGCATTATACTGACCAGTCTGCTCTCTCTAGATATGGCTTGACAATTCATTTTTACATATAGGCCTATCTGCAATAAATAATATAATTGTCAAATATTAAATGTCTGGCTGTATGTGCAATTGTAGTTAAATTCAATTAGTGCATCGGCCACAATTTTTTAGATTGCACGAACAAATTAATGGTACACTTTATTAGGTTAACCTGGATTGTTATGTATTATATGACCTGCGGTTTGAATATTAAGTGCATGTTCATAAACTGGAGATGATCTTTCCAGAATGGTAAACATTAACCTTTGAGTGAACAAACATGCCCCATGTTTTCAGGAAGAACCAGTTTGTGTTACACTGGGAGTGGCCTGAAGGTTTCTGCCCCCTTTGAGCGTCAATAAAACGAGGAAACGTCCCGACTCTGAACACAACTGAACCTTTATCAGAACAGCCTCTGGATGCCTTTCCCAGCGAGAGAGATCAGATCTCGGACCTGTAGCTGAGGGCAACCCCTTTGAGAAGCGGATGAAGAAACAAATCTTACTACATTTCCCATACAGAGGACTAGTGAGCAAAGGAAAAAAGAGTAAAAGAAGAAAATGGCCAATTTTATATTACGGAAAGCCGAGCCCAAGGACGTGTCTGACATACTGCGACTCATAAAGGTGATCAATTCAGTTTTAAACCTGACAAGATACTGATGATAAACATGTGTTTGTGAGCTCAAATGTTTCAGTACTAGTTAATTAATCGCGATCAACCGCATCCAACATAAAAGTTTGCAAATGGGCCTATGTAATATGTGTGTGTGCATATAGCCTATACACAAACAAAGACACGCACAGATATGTGTGTATGTACATACTGTGTATATACAAAAACTTTTATGTTAGATGTGATTAATTACGATTAATCGATTTGACAGCACTACTATTGTTAGTAATCCTAACTTCATAATTTTTAACCTGAATACGTCTTTTGCATTAGGAACTGGCAAAATTTGAGGAAATGGAAAATCAAGTTATTCTCACTGAAAAAGGTAAGTTCATTTAAAGTACACTGACTGTCAGAAGCTTGGAATAATTACGTTTTTTTAAATGTTTTTGAAAATTGTCTCTTCTGCTCACCAAGGCTGCATTTATTTGATGAAAATACAGTAAAAAAACAGTAATATGCTAAAATATTACAATTAATCATTTCTGAATGATCATGTGACACTGAAGACTGGAGTCATAATGCTGAAAATTCAGATTTGATCACTGGTACATATTCACATAGAAAACGGCTATTTTAAATTGTAGTAATATTTCACATCTTTACTGTATTTTTGATCATAAGTGAGCTGAAGACTTCTTTTAAAAGCTTTTTATTATCCCAGCTTTTGAACAGCAGTGTAACTGCAATAACTTTCAGAGTTTAGCTTCTGTTACGGTCTTGTAATTGCAGTTTTGCTCCTGTAGATCTCCTGGAGGACGGTTTCGGAGATCATCCCTTCTATCACTGTATAGTGGCTGAAGTGCCTAAACAGCACCAGAGCGCCGACGGTAAGACTGAACCCGGACAAACTGCGTTTCAATGCACAATTGTTCTGCTTTTTGTTCCCACCACCCCCCCAAATCAGGTTGAAGTGAGCACACCAGGAGTGTGTTAAACTCCCACAGACGCTCGGGTCACCAAAAGTGTTTCTGCGCATAATGACGCAAAACAGTGTTTGGTAACACTTTGCATTGCAGTGCCCATGTTAAGTATGAAGGACATGCAGGTATTAGTATTAGTTCACCCAAAAAGAGATTTTTAGGAACATTATAATTATGCACACTCGTTCGTACTCAATATTCCAGTGCAAAACTAATTATCTAAACGTTCTTAAATTACTTAAGATATTAAGAATTCTGAAGAATTTTAAAAAATGAAGTGAGTTTATGCTTAAAACAAGAAAAATATAGGCTCAGAACAATAAACTAATTCATATAGAACACAAGTTTATTTTTCTGACCTTATTGGCAGATATTTGTTCTTGTCACTTAATTTTGATACTTTTTTTTCAGAAAACAAGACTTGTTATCTTAAGCTTCTCAAATGCATCTTGATTCAAGAATGTTTAGATATTTTATATTTTTTGCAGTGCAACAACTTAAATTTGGGTCTGTTTCTACCGTTTGACTTCAAAAAACTTTGATTATACTACAAGTATAGTTCATATTGGGATTTTGGTCATTTTTTGTAGCTGTTGAAGAGTTGCATGTAAAATTTGACATGAGGGTGAGTAAATAATGCCAGAGTTTCTTGTTTGGGTGACCTATTCATTAAAGCAACACCGTAACATGAGCACTGTAATGTAAAGTGTCTTTTTTGTGCATCTGAACATTCAACACAGAGAATTTCAGTTGTTTGACATTTGCCAAGAACACTTATCCAATCCCCCTCTGTAATTTATTGTCTTCAGGCTACAGTCTCTTGCTTCGCCATGTACATTGCCCGTGGCGTGTACATGGATGGGCGGGGAGGTAACTGAAAGATCGGTTACAATAGTGTAACATATACAATAAACCAGAGGTAAGGCCCACAACAGCTGGGACGTCTCCTGCCTCACACCACACAACAATATGCCCAAAACTAACAACTTTCTTACAGATGGATCGTATGGACTTGTTACCATACTCACAACTAGGGATGGGAATGAACAATTAATGAAACTTTGAGTTACTCTGAGGAAGAACAAATGGGCAAATTCTAATTGCCATGATATTGTATTTTATAACTATTCCATCTACATCTGTGGAGGAATGAACGTCATGAAAGTCTTTCTAGCGTGTTTTGATTCCCAACCCTACTCTGCTGCACTGCAAAATAATAAATCAATTCTTAATAAGTATTTTTGTCTTGGTTTTCTGGTATAAATATCTAAACGTTCTTAAATTAAGATTGTTTACTTGAGAAGCAAAATACATTCAGTACTTTTTCAGAAGATGTTTAATAGCGCCCCCTACCGTATAACATGAAATAACGGGGAAACATGGATTGCGCGGAAAATTCTGTCAATAGGCGCGTTTCCATTACAGATTTGCGCAAAACTTTTGCGATTTTTTCTAAATGTCGATAAAAAACTATTGCGAAATGACGGCGTTTCCATTAACTGATGTTATGCGACTTTTTCCCCTCTCGCGATAAGTCATTTAAACATCAACGGGTAGGTTTATAGCCTATATCCCTATATCACAGCCACCGCACCACCACACTAGACATTATTATTAATAGAAGGAGACGTGGTGTGTTATCCAAGCATTAATGGCAGGGAAAGACCCGTAGCCTATACTGCGAACGGCATAAGGAGTTTCTGGGTGTTTCTCCCTCATTTCTGCTCCGAGGTCTGATTGTGGCATTTCTTTGAGGTTTAGAATCCAGTATTCCTGTAGCCTATTGTTTCTTTTATGAATTTAATAAAGAACTCTGTCCAAACGGTCAGTGTACATTTGTGTCCATTCGTTTTTCCTTATTTAACCCGTATTGCAAAACGAAAAATGAACGGTGGTTGTTTTTTTTTAAATGCAAAGTTGAACACCAATTTTTTTTTTTTTTTTTTAACTGTACACAAATGCTGCGAAAAAAAAAAAAAATCGACTAAATTTCAGATGTTTGTTTATGACTTTTTGCCCCTTTACTAAACATTTAAAATATTCCCAACTTAATAATTTTTTTTTTTAGATTTTAATGGTTTTCTAAGGCCAAATTAGAACCTGAAAATTATATTTTTCCCGCAGTGCTGAATGAGAAGAGCCATATTTAGGCCTATGTCTCTGGAACCACAGCCTACAGAAAGGTGATTTAGGTGAGTTATAGGCTAATGATAATAAATGTGTCTGAAAGAATAACGAGGCATTTTAATTTTATTAATAAACTATTGTTTTCTAAATTAGTGTCGGCTAAAAACATCTCCATCTCCGCTGAGGCGCGCCGCGCGAATGCACCTTTAGAGAGAAATGCACCTTTCATACGGATTACATAATCAGAAGGTATTAGCTTTCGATTCGAATTTGTTCGTTTTAAAGTGGACATTTCAAGCTTTAGCTTTTTTCACGGAGATCATGAAAGTGCGCATGATTGTTTTATTTTATTTTACAAATGCACAACGTTTTCTTGTTATTTTGAGTTTACACAAATAAAGGCATAGTTGCGAATAATGTATTATTATTTTCTGTATGACCAGAAATTATAGAGTATTTTAAGTTGTTTTCACTGAAAACGCAAGTGTTCGCGCCCGCGTCTCCCTGCCTGCAGCGCGCTCATACTCCGCACAAACACTTGGATATGCGTCAAAATCTTGTGTTTCTTTGTGATAATCTTAGCCCTGTATTATTATTGTCTAACCATTATGAATGACATTTGACGAATTGCTTTGTTCCTTTTTTTGGATAAAAGCATCTTCTAAATATGTAGCCTAATAAATGTTATAATAATGATGATAATTATTAGCCCATTAGGCTATTATTTGCGTATACCACGGACGGACCCCAAACACACCGCGTCTTCTAAGTCAGGTGACTGTAAATGCGCAAAAACTGTTTCCATTGCAGTTTTGCGAAATATTCCTTTTTCGAATTGCCTGAAAAACCTCCTCATGCGAGCGTAAAAACTTTTTTGCGATAAATGGGAGTTTTTGCGAAATTGACGTGTTTCCATTGAGCGTAATTTCAATTCGCAATTTTAATTTGCGCAATTTGAAGGGTAATGGAAACGCGGCTAATGGCAGGGAAAAATGTTAGCATAAATGTACTTAATTTTGATAAATTTTTCAGAAAACAATAAGTAATCACATTTTGCTTCTCTATCTTAAGTAAATCTATCTTGATTTAAGAGTTTGTTTACATGACAATGATATTGTCTACTAAAATATTGATATTGATAAAAATGCAAAAGTTATTCCTTTGCGGTTTTCGTCTAGGCTACAGAAGACAGTGTTGTCAAAAAGTGTTTACACGACATATATATATATATATATATATATATATATATATATATATACACACACACTCACCTAAAGGATTATTAGGAACAGCTGTTCAATTTCTCATTAATGCAATGATCTAATCAACCAATCACATGGCAGTTGCTTCAATGCATTTAGGGGTGTGGTCCTGGTCAAGACAATCTCCTGAACTCCAAACTGAATGTCAGAATGGGAAAGAAAGGTGATTTAAGCAATTTTGAGCGTGGCATGGTTGTTGGTGCCAGACGGGCCGGTCTGAGTATTTCACAATCTGCTCAGTTACTGGGATTTTCACGCACAACCATTTCTAGGGTTTACAAAGAATGGTGTGAAAAGGGAAAAACATCCAGTGAGCGGCAGTCCTGTGGGCGAAAATGCCTTGTTGATGCTAGAGGTCAGAGGAGAATGGGCCGACTGATTCAAGCTGATAGAAGAGCAACTTTGACTGAAATAACCACTCGTTACAACCGAGGTATGCAGCAAAGCATTTGTGAAGCCACAACACGCACAACCTTGAGGCGGATGGGCTACAACAGCAGAAGACCCCACCGGGTACCACTCATCTCCACTACAAATAGGAAAAAGAGGCTACAATTTGCAAGAGCTCACCAAAATTGGACAGTTGAAGACTGGAAAAATGTTGCCTGGTCTGATGAGTCTCGATTTCTGTTGAGACATTCAGATGGTAGAGTCAGAATTTGGCGTAAACAGAATGAGAACATGGATCCATCATGCCTTGTTACCACTGTGCAGGCTGGTGGTGATGGTGTAATGGTGTGGGGGATGTTTTCTTGGCACTCTTTAGGCCCCTTAGTGCCAATTGGTCATCGTTTAAATGCCACGGCCTACCTGAGCATTGTTTCTGACCATGTCCATCCCTTTATGGCCACCATGTACCCATCCTCTGATGGCTACTTCCAGCAGGATAATGCACCATGTCACAAAGCTCCAATCATTTCAAATTGGTTTCTTGAACATGACAATGAGTTCACTGTACTAAAATGGCCCCCACAGTCACCAGATCTCAACCCAATAGAGCATCTTTGGGATGTGGTGGAACGGGAGCTTCGTGCCTTGGATGTGCATCCCACAAATCTCCATCAACTGCAAGATGCTATCCTATCAATATGGGCCAACATTTCTAAAGAATGCTTTCAGAACCTTGTTGAATCAATGCCACGTAGAATTAAGGCAGTTCTGAAGGCGAAAGGGGGTCAAACACAGTATATGGTGTTCCTAATAATCCTTTAGGTGAGTGTATATATGTGTGTGTTGTAAGGGGTATACAGTCAAAGACCCAGAACCAGATATGAAGAATGAAGACCCGGAGTCAGAATTATAAAAAATTAAAGAAAAGTTTTACTGAAGATAGTTTGCATTTTCATCAGCAGAAGTCAGCTTCAAGACTCACACAGGAGTTCGTAGGCCGCCCCCCTTACAGTTACAAAGATCACAGCAGTTATACCATTTCCAAGGTCTAAGCTACGTCATTGCTTACAGGTTGAATGATTCTCATTGGCTAAGAAACATGAAAGCCTAAACAATTTAACACATGTGAGGAGATAGGGGTGCCTATCGCCATTAGTAAAGATAGTTGTCGTCCACTCATTAGATTTAGGTCTGTGGTGGCCTCGCAGGTTAGAGAAGGGCGCCGGGGTGTCTGGTCCGAACGTCCAGAACCTACATAGAATGTCATACGCACACACACACAAATAACAGACACTAGCAAATAACAGCTCCCATCAAGGCTGAAGAGAGTCTGAGCTCCTTATTATCAGTTAAGTATACCAAAACATACTGCTAAAACATTCACTCGTTTGGGAGAAAAACAGATCACTGGCATTTACTCCCAAGGAAGGAAATATACTGGAAAGAATACATTTTAATACAACAATTCAAGTTTGATAGTAACGCTCAATATAGCTTGACCATATGTCCAGCGAAGAATCATATGTGCCCACGCTGCCTTTAGGACCCTCTAACCTTTCTACTGATCCCAGAGAAAGAGACAAACGGCCTTGTGGGTTACGTGGCCTTCGTGTCCTGCGTGTACTACGTGCAATCTCAAAGTAAGATTGGAATGCACCTAAAAGAAACTGGTTACTTGCATCCATGCATTTAAGAAAATATAATTTCACAAGCACAAGAATATAAAAATTATTATGTGATAATGAATATATTTGATTATTGATTTTTATAAAGGAAGTATATAACCATTCAAAATGATATATGATTATATATGTATTTGAAGAGGCAAGGGATTTTGACCAACCCTTCAGTGTGTACAGGAAAACAATAAATACTAAGTAAGGAAAAAAATGTGGTATAAATGTTCAAATTAACACAATAAAAGTGAAATGACAGATTAATCGAAAATTTGACCCCTGGAATGACGTGACTGTGGTGTATGTGAGGGTTATAATGCCAATAATCCCACCCGAAATTAATTTCAGCAAAACGCAAACCAACAGCGTTTGTCTCCGTGTAAAATCTGTCTTATCTGTGAATTTGAAGTTGCTACAAAATGCATTCTCTTGCTGCAAACAATAGAGTGATTGAACCTTTTTTTCCAGGTCATGTGATCGTTGGCTTTGCCATGTATTATTTCACCTATGACCCCTGGATTGGAAAACTGCTCTACTTGGAGGACTTCTACGTCATGAAGGAGTATCGGGGTATGAATGTGACCGTATGCATTTGTGAAATCAAATAGTCAAATTTATGAGATGTAACACACTTTTCCTTCTGCTCAAATTAGGTTTTGGAATCGGTTCTGAAATCCTGAAGAAACTGAGTGAGGTAATTTCCTTTATAACTAAAGATCAACCACATCTATTTCTATGAGCTGTTCCTGTATGTTGTTAGAGCGCATATCACCCTTATGAAACAGAAGTGCACTTAATTATCAAATCTTACAAGTGTAATTAATTAAGATATTCAAGATAATATAATTTAAATGAAATAAAGGGCCACTTAAGTGTACTTAAAGAAAGTACACACTTTTAGAAGTGCACTTTGCAATAGTACATTTTAATTCATTACGTTTGAATAATCTATTGTTGTGCTTTAAAGAAGTGCACTTGATTTGATGTGTTGACTTACACACTAAAGCACATGTAAAGTAAAACTATCACTTTAACTGTATAGTGTGTTATTTGATATTATTTCAACATCGTCATTACAAATGTAAAATTGCAAATTAGTTTATGCAAGTTTCAATAAAAATGACATTAAAGTGTATTTTAGTTTACCATAAATGCTAGTCAGTACATTTTAACAATATTTCAAAAACAGTAGAAATAATTATTATGAAATCGCATATTAAGATGTGCTTATGTGGGTAAAAAAAAGCACTTAAGTTCAACTAATTGCATTAAATATAAATTTAAACTAGTGCGATGAATCAAATCGATGAATCGCATAAAAGTTTGTTAATATGTAATATATGTGTGTGTATATATATATATATATATACACTCACCGCCCACTTTATTAGGTACACCTGTCCAACTGCTCGTTAACACTTAATTTCTAAGCAGCCAATCACATGGCGGCAACTCAGTGCATTTAGGCATGTAGACATGGTCAAGACAATCCCCTGCAGTTCAAACCGAGCATCAGTATGGGGAAGAAAGTTGATTTGAGTGACTTTGAACGTGGCATGATTGTTGGTGCCAGAAGGGCTGGTCTGAGTATTTCAGAAACTGCTAATCTACTGGGATTTTCACGCACAACCATCTCTAGGGTTTACAGAGAATGGTCCGAAAAAGAAAAAACATCCAGTGAGCGGCAGTTCTGTGGGCGGAAATGCCTTGTTGATGCCAGAGGTCAGAGGAGAATGGCCAGACTGGTTCGAGCTGATAGAAGGGCAACAGTGACTGAAATAACCACTCGTTACAACCGAGGTATGCAGCAAAGCATTTGTGAAGCCACAACACGCACAACCTTGAGGCGGATGGGCTACAACAGCAGAAGACTCCACCGGATACCACTCATCTCCACTACAAATAGGAAAAAGAGGCTACAATTTGCAAGAGCTCACCAAAATTGAACAGTTGAAGACTGGAAAAATGTTGCCTGGTCTGATGAGTCTCGATTTCTGTTGAGACATTCAGATGTTAGAGTCAGAATTTGGCGTAAACAGAATGAGAACATGGAACCATCATGCCTTGTTACCACTGTGCAGGCTGGTGGTGGTGGTGTAATGGTGTGGGGGATGTTTTCCTGGCACACTTTAGGCCCCTTAGTGCCAATTGGGCATCCTTTAAATTCCACGGCCTACCTGAGCATTGTTTCTGACCATGTCCATCCCTTTATGGCCACCATGTACCCATCCTCTGATGGCTACTTCCACCATGTCACAAAGCTCTAATCATTTCAAATTGGTTTCTTGAACATGACAATGAGTTCACTGTACTAAAATGGCCTCCACAGTCACCAGATCTCAACCCAATAGAGCATCTTTGGGATGTGGTGGAACGGGAGATTCGCATCATGGATGTGCAGCCGACAAATCTGCGGCAACTGTGTGATGCCATCATGTCAATATGGACCAAACTCCCTGAGGAATGCTTCCAGCACCTTGTTGAATCTATGCCACGAAGAATTGAGGCAGTTCTGAAGGCAAAAGGGCGTCCAACCCGTTACTAGCATGGGGTACCTAATAAAGTGGGCGGTGAGTGTATATATATATGTCGTGTAAACACTTTTTGACAACACTGTCTTCTGTAGCCTAGACGAAAACCGCAAAGGAATAACTTTTATAAATAACTTTTGAAACTTGCATAAACTAATTTGCAATTTCGCATTTGTAATGACGATGTTGAAATAATATCAAATAACACACTACAAACTTTTATGTTAGATGCGATTAATTGCAATTCATTTTAATTGCAATCAGCATGCAATTGTGTCTGAAGACATTTCATTCAGTATTCTGGTACCCTTGTATATATACTACAAGGGTACCAAAGCTCAAAGTGTACAATTCTAGTTAATAATTATACCCAGGTTAATGATCTAACATTATACAGCTCCTCCAATCTTCCTCATGCCAGTATATCTTGTACTAAATCAGTGTTCCCAATCATCTCCCAATGATCTGGTTTCCTGCAGACGGCGGTGAGGACTCGGTGTAGTAGTATGCACTTCATCGTGGCGGAGTGGAACAAGCCCTCCATCGACTTCTACAAGCGGCGCGGGGCGTCAGATCTCTCTCTGGAGGAAGGGTGGAGGCTCTTCAAGATCGACAAGCAGAACCTCCTCAAGATGACCAGCGAGGAGTGAACCGACCGGATGTGGTGTTTACTTTAGTCTAGGACTGACCTTCAAATGGCATTTTGAAGCATTCAGCGTGTGATTTTTACATCCAAAACCCATAATTCTAAATGGAATTATATACCCATAATTCTATATGGAATTATATACCCATAATTCTATATGGAATTATATACCCATAATTATATATGGAATTATATACCTATAATTATATATGTCATCTTTATATGTCTTTATATATGTTTTTTGTATGACAAGTATAAAAAGTTCTATATCTTTAGATGTTTAATTCCCATCAAAATACATACATTTTGAAAAGATGACTGAGATTATATTCTTGTTTTGATGTAAAGAGATTATTTTTCCTTTTGTGATTTAATAATTCATGCATCAGAGACTTACAATGCAATGTAATGATGTTTATATAGACATGTCGTATTTACTTTGTATACTTCATCTTAAATTATACTGGGAGGAAAAAATATAAAAAGTTTCTCTTTATTCACCCCATCTTTTAAATGTTATATATATGAGATCTAATGATTCCCCATTTTATACTTTGAAACTACAATTCCATCCGAAAAGATTAAGGCACAGACACCTTAGGCAAAACCATTGGTTTGTTTTTGTCTTTTCGTGCACTTGTGAATTTTAAGATGTGGTCTATTTTGCTTCATTAAGATATCTTGTTTCAGGCTAGTGGTGGGAATAAAATAGCCCACACATTTTAGTGCTTAATGTAATTCATCTATTTGCGTCTGTATATTTCAATTAGAATCCATTATTAGAGTCAGACATCTCCACTTCAGCAGCTTTACACACGCCACAATGTACAGTTTTATTCCTATCTATATTCAAGATAGATAGATAACAGACGTGGTAGCTGAGAGTGAGCCAAAAACACACTCCCAGAAGAGAGTCTAGAACATGAGTTAAATTAGCTGGTACTTTAAGACCGGTGGACTCTGTGATCTACTGTACACTGTTTTTTTTTTTTTTTTTTTTTTTTTTATCATTGCAATCATGTTTATTGTCTTCAAAACATCTTTATCTGCATGTTACAGCGATCTTTTTTTTTTTTTTTTTTTTTTTTTTTTTTTATTGAAGATAATCAACAATACAATCAAAATAGCAAAAGTTAGAGAAATACCCCAAAAAATAAAAAATAAACAAATAAATAAAATAAATACAAATAAATAAAAAAATACAGACACTAAAACACAAGATTATTACTCAAATAAACACATTAAACATAGTACAATTAACTACAGTTTTAACAGCTTTTTTGTTTTGCATGGAAGAGATGGTAGAAATATAATGTTCCATTTCAGTTTTTAGCACCGAAAAAAGTGGTTTTTTATTACTGAATTTACATTTATGGATATGGAATTTGGCAACAAATAAGATTAGGTTTACTAGAAAGAGAGCACCAATGTCCTTCCCACAGTCACTAAAACAACCAAAAATTACATTTTTGTAGTACAGGGAGAACTCAGGAAGAATATTGTCAACTACAAATGAATTAATGTCTTTCCAGAGCTTATAAGTGCATTCACAAGACCAAAATAAATGTGAAATAGTTTCAGGATGTAAGCCACAAAAGGAGCATTTTACATCAATGTCATTCTTAAACTTATTTAAGCATACATTTGTGGGGTAAAACCTGTGTAGTAACTTGAACGAGACTTCTTTAATTTTGTTAGTTAAAAGGAACTTCTGGGGTAGGGACCAGACTTTTTCCCAGTCTATGTTGAGGTCAAACTTATTCCAATAGAAGGACGCAGGAGAAATAGAGACTAGGTCCGCCTGAAACAAGGATCTAATTTTGGAGTTCGATGCTTTATAGGTAGAGAAACAGACTTTACCTAACGGAAGCTGAGTTGGATCTGGGGGTGACATTGATAATGGTGGAGAGATATCAATTGACCTGAATAACATACGAAGACCTGAGGGCACAGCATCAAAAACTATAGAAAATTCTCTTGGGCTTACTGGAATCTTATATTTGGCAAGAAATTCTGAATAACTATATAGTAGTCCATTCTTATTAAAGAGTTGACTGACTAATAAAATACCATTGTTGAACCAATTATCGTAAAAAAGCGACTTGTTCTTATAAACAATATTGAGATTGTTCCATATATAACACCTCTGTGGAGAGAAGTTATGCTTGTAAAGCAAAGCCCATGCTAAAAGAGCCTGTTGGTGGAAATTGGAGAGTTTAACTGGGATTTTTTGTATTTTATAGTTACAGAGCAGAATAAATTTTAGGCCGCCTAACTGTGAAAAGACATAATGAGAAATAAAATTCCAGATGGAAGTAGGGTGTTTGAGATATTGCTTGATCCAATTTATCTTGAATGTGTTGTTGAGAGAGCTAAAGTCTATGAAATTTAAGCCCCCTTTGTTGTAAGAATTCAGAACTACAGACTTACGAATATAGTGAGTTTTATTTTTCCATAGAAAATTAAATAGCATCTTATCGACAGATTTACAAAAGGAGTTATCTACATGTAATGACTGAGCAGCATAGGTTAAACGAGAAATACCTTCCGCCTTGGTGATTAGAACTCTGCCTTTCAGAGAAAGATCTCTTTGTAACCATCGGTTGAAAACCTTTTGAGTTTTTTCAATGAGGGGAAAAAAGTTTAACTTACCTCTGGCTTTTCTATCTTTTGTGATATGTACACCAAGATATGTGACTGAGTCTCTTACAGGGATATTATACACTACGGAAGCAGAGCAGTTATTCACTGGTAACAGTTCACATTTGCTAAGATTGAGGGTGAGACCGGAAGCTTTAGAAAAAGAGCGAATAAGATTAATCGCAACTGAAACCTGTGAAGCATCTGCCAGAAACAAGGCTGTATCATCCGCCAACTGACTGATTAAAATATGATTATTTGCCACACTAATGCCTTTAATAGGACTGTTTTTAATGTGTAGATTAAGAAGTTGGGCAGCGAGAAGGAACAGATAAACAGAAAGAGGACACCCCTGCCGTACTCCACGCTTTAAATCAAATCTAGGGGATGTACCATTGCTTAATTTAATAGAACTGTTTCCATTAGCGTACAAAGTTTGGACCGATCTGCAGAAGAACTGACCAAAACCGAACTTTTTTAAGGTTTCCATTACAAAATCGTGCTCTAAGGAATCAAATGCTTTATAAAAGTCTAAGAAAAGAATAAAACTGTCTTCATGAACTAGCTCAGAGTAGTCTAATAAATCTAAAATCAATCTCACATTATTTGAGATGTGTCTATTACGCATGAACCCAGATTGACTCTCATCAATAATAGAGTCTAGAACTGATTTCAGTCTCTTGGCAAGTATAAGAGCAAAAATCTTATAGTCACTATTTAATAAGGAAATGGGGCGCCAATTATCTAACAGGAGAGAATCTTTCTTAGGCTTAGGAATGAGTGTAATTAGACCCTGACTTAATGTAGGTGGCAAGGAACCTCTATAAACACTCTCAGCAAAAACTTCTTTTAAAAATGGGGCTAGGCTCAGAGAAAAATGCTTATAAAATTCGGCAGTAAAGCCGTCCGTTCCGGGTGATTTATTGATTTTTAGTTGATTAATGGCATTAGTAATTTCATTTAGAGAAATAGAGGCATCGCAAAAGTCACAATTAGCTTCAGAAATCTGATTGATATTAGGAATAGAATTAAAAAAACATGTGGCATCTTGAGGACAATATCTAGAGGTGTAAAGATCACTGTAAAATCCAGCACAATACTTGGCAATTTTCTTTGAATCATCAGTAATTGTTCCATCAATGCTTAATTGTTGAATGGTGTTATTTTTTGATTGCTGCTTTTCTAGTCGAAAGAAATATGCAGAATTCTGCTCGCCCTCTTCGAGCCACCTACGGCGAGATGTAACAAAAGCACCTTCCGCTTTTCTTTTATATATCTCGTCCAACCTATGCTGCTGATTAGTAAGCTCCAACTGTTCTGACTCAGTAAGTACATCTAAAGACTGAGAAGTTAAGGATGCAATTTTAAGTATAGTATCGTTTTCCTCTGTTCTTCTTTTTTTAGCTAAATCACTACTGTATTTCCTGAGAAATTTAGCAGTTTCGTACTTTAACAACTCCCAGTTATTGCTAAAAGAATTCTCACTTTGAGCTTTGTCCCAGTAAAGCCGAATAAAACTCTCAATTTTAGAAGTCACTTCCTTGTGTTTAAGGAGTGTACTATTAAGTTTCCAATAAGAGGTTTTAGGAGAACCGGGAGAGAGAGAAGGAATGAGAACTTGAATAGTCTTATGATCAGATAGGGGCGATGGTAAAATGTTCGCAGCTACATTTTTCAGATCCTTGGATATAAGCCAGAAATCAATGCGAGACTGCCTTGATAATGTTTTGTTGCTCCATGTATATGATTTCTGTAGCGGGTGAGTATCTCTCCAAATATCGGTTAAATTAAAACTATTTAAGAGCGTCTTCACATAAATATTAGAGGAGTCCGCATTCCTTGCAGGCAACCTATCCAGGCAATTATCTAACACGGTATTAAAATCTCCGCCCAAAACGATAAAAGAATTTGGGAATTTAGATAACCAGTAAGAGAGTCGTTCTTCCAAATTATCAAAAAAACTTTTGTTCTCTGTTTGAGAATTGAAGCCATAAGCATTAACTATAATATAATTTACGCTAGCAATTTCTAGAACTAGAAATATGTAATGACCGCTTTTGTCACAGTCAGAGTTTAAAACTTTTCCACTAAAGCGGTTTTTTAATCGCGTTTTTTAAAGCGATCCATGAGACAGCCACAGGTCACCCCCCACTGTGATTTCCAAAAGTTAGCATCCTGTTCAATTGAGTGTGATTCCTGTACAAAACAAAAGTCAGTATTAAGCTGTTTACAGTATAAAAATATAGCCTTTCGTTTAAGGTGGTTTCTTAAACCTCTTGTGTTTAAAGAAATAATAGATAAAGACATAAGAAAAAAGATAAAGTAAATAAATACAAGAAAAACTAGACCAGAAAAATGGTAGTGCGTATATGAAAATAAGTAGGATAAGGTCTCTACAAAAGCGCCAACATGAGTCTGAGAACAGCAAACCTTATGTGAAATTTGTGAACAAATGCTATCAGTACAATCAATCAAACTGTAGACATTTTATGAAAAGAGTCCTTTGCAAGGAGAGGCTAAAAAGCACCCGTTTTCTTTTACTCCCACTCAAATTTGTAATTATAAAGAATTATTATTAAAATTTTTTTTTTTTCGAGGAAAAGTAACTATACATAAATGAAAAGCTGATAAACAGCTTTTGAAACGCTATCAAGCCGTGATAGTTAAAACAACAAAATAAAAATATTGCTGAACATATGTGACATGCTATGCATTAAAAAGCATGTTAGAACAATTTTTGACACACCTCTGCTCCAAAGAGCAACTTTGATTCAATAACATAAATAACAGGTAATAAAACCTGACTAAATCACATAAAGAACATATAAAGTAAAGACAACCTTAAGCTGTGTAACTTACTAGAATTACCTCATCTACAAAGTCTCAAGGTGGGAGAATTTCCTTTCCACCCACAAAAGCACGACCGCCCACGAAGAAAGCTGGCTTGCCATCTTTCCGAGCCTGATCAACAACGGGCCACAGTTTCTTTCTTTTCTCTCTGTCCTCTGCTGACAAGTCCTCCGCCAGTTTCAGGTTTTTGGTCTTCAGGAAGCCGGAGTTCTTTGCGGAGCGCCACACGGCATCACGGTAGAATCTGGAAGAGAAGCGCACGATGACACCTCTCGGTTGAATGTTACCAGGCTTCCTGGGGCCGAGGCGGTGAATGACGTCTATGGCATCTGGAAGCTTGGTTTTGGCCTCTGGAAGCAGACCCTGGCATATCTTGATAATCTCATGTCGCAGATCCTGCTGATCGTTTTCTTCTAGGCCGTGGAGCTTGAGATTCCAGCGTCGGGAGTACGCTTCTAATTGAGAAACACGCTGCTCAGTCTTGTCAGTATTAACTTTGCAAGCCTCAATCAGCGATTCACAGCGGTCAACTCTCTCTTTAACGCTTTTTACTTCAGCACAAACAGCATCAAATGAATCTTTAATACCGGCGATCTGCTTGGTGTTTTCTGTAACTGCCATCTTCACTTCGGCAATCACCAAGGAGTTGTCACTGACCAACTTTTCCAAGGCATCTGACCTGCTGTTTATCAGCTGAGAGAGGGAGGAAAGCTGGGAGAGGATTGCGGTAGTTGTCGTATCTTCCACACGTCTCCATTTAGGTGCAGGTGATTTAACCGGGGTGATGGGAAGTTGCGGAAAATTGTCATCCACTAACGAGACCTTCAGTACCTCCGTGTCTGACTCGAGGTAGTCGTGCATGTTGTCAATGAGCATGTTGTTTGTATCTGACTGCTCAGTGGGAGCTAACGTTTCAGTCATGTTAGTAGAACACGTACTAGCAAGCGCTTTTTTAGCGCCGCTTTTCCTCTTCTCCTGAGGCTTCATTTTACCAGCAAAGGTAATCAGAATACAGCCGGACAAACGCGGTACATGAACTAAAAGCAAAAAGTCCGTTTTGTACACTCTTTAACAATATGGAAAACAGTTCGGTTTGCGGAGCTCAGAGAAACACGTCCACTCAGAGCGCCATCTTGGTCGACAGCCATGTTACAGCGATCTCTGTACTTTCTGTATCACTCAGTGACGTCCTGGAATGTCCATCTACTGTACACTGTTACCCCATGGCGATTGCAAACAGATGACGTATGAACACGTTTCAAAGCTGACTGACACGTCTAGTCACCTTTATTCCTATAGCGCTGTGCCTGTATAATACAGATTGTTAGCTTTACAGTAATAACAGGAACATTATTTAATGAAGCAAAAATAGATCATTTCAGGTGTACAGCAGCTCTAAAAGAAAATAATGTTATTCTTCAGCTGAAGTCATTTCAGTGATGATTCAGTTCCGCTCTAAATATCATCAATTATGAAATGAGTTCAATTCGGCTATAAAGCAAACAGTGATGTCGTCATACAGCTCAGTTCATGCACAGGCTTACTGGGGCTGAAGCCCCAGGGCCTATGAAGACAAGGGGCCTATCATAAGCCAAAAAAAAAAAAAATCACATTGTTTTGTAATTTGTCGAATTTTCTGTCAATCACTTGATATTCATGTTTTTGGCTGCTGATTGATCCAATTTACAAGTGACCCACGTGGGAAGCATGATATGACAGCCTATCAGAATGTAGAGAAACAGTTGTCATCTTCTCTAGTAGTCTATTCAAATTTATGCTAGTCACAGAGGCTGTTGATAACTATCAAAATGTTGAGGAAGAAATAAACGAAAAATATCGCGACAGAAAGAAAACAGTGAGAAGGAATTGTTCAAAAAGATTCCAAAGCTAACAGGATTTTTTAAACCTGCAAATGAAGGTGAGTCGAGCTCATTAAGCGGAGCACCGATCGATGAACAGTGGAAAGGACAAGCAAACAGGCGGGCAGTGTTAATTTCGTTGACGAATAATTTGCGTAATTATTTTCGTCAACAAAATTTTTTAACAGACGAAAACGAGACGATACGGTCCCGACCCGAAGCGTGAATTGATCGAGCTCTCTTTCGCGTCTGAATGGACAAATACACACAACATTATGTCTAAATGTCCGTTTTAGAGAGTATTCACGTAAACACAGTCGGTTATGTCTTTACAGAATGTACAGTTGTGAGAATATTGGATGTGCATCAGTGTAATTGGATCTGCGCACTCGGTCTTAAAGTGACAGTGCGTAATAAAACTAATGCCGTCTGTAAACTTAATATTAATCAAACAACAAAATAAAAAGAGAAAAGCATTCACGGCTCTTTAATAGCATTAATATGGATTAATTATACTTAAATTATACAAATAAATATGTCTGCTTGAAAGAATAAAGAATGATGTATTTAAGTTAAAGACTGCATAATCATTGATTGACAAAAAAAGACTGTTCTACTTTAGGAGAAGAAGTGTTTTTATTTAATTTTAAGATATTATATTATGTCACCGTGCTAAATCTGTGTCTGTACAGTATTGCATGTTCAAACTTTAAAAATGATTCATATTAACAGGTTAATAGATGTTTTCTATGGGAATATATAATGGGTTTGGAAATTTTAGAGAAATTTTTAATTAATGCATTAGAATTTCACTAAACCCATTCGACTTTAGTCGACTAAATCTACTGTAAATTTAGTCTACTAAAATCTTATTGTATTTCGTCGACTAAAACTAGACTATTTACTGCTTTCCAGTATAGCCTGTGCTGTGGAGGTTTTACATTGCTGTTGTTGTGGATATTTTTATGGAATACTGTTTTCGTTAGGCTATATCTCCCCAAGAGAAACTTATTTCTGCTTTTGTTGTATAGACAAACGTGATCATTAGACTTTTTTTTTATTGTGGGCCTACAAAACCTCTCAGCCCCAGGGCATAACAGCAGGTTAATGCGGGCCTGGGTGCCAGATTTCCGCCTAAAACACACCGTAAAAAAGGCCTTAAAGGGCTAGTTCGCCCATTTAAGACATGAAGTTCTATGCAATCCTTACCAGCACTATAGTGCATACACACTGACCCACTCTGTTGTCACCTCCCTGGTCAGAGTTCTGGCCGCTGGAAGTTTTTCAATAAAGTAGGCTACTCCCGGTTATTTTCCGGGGCCACAAAACTGTGCGTTTTTACATGAAAAAATGATTTGCGTTTCAAAGCTTGATTAATTTACCACACAAAAAACACGCCGGTCAAAATTCATACCTCAGTTTTAATCGGCACTATTTTCTATCCATTTCTATCAATCTGCGCTGCTGTCAACATCAACAGTGCGCAGATTGCATACAAGGATTGCATACAACTTCATGTCTTAAAGGGATACTCCACTTTTTTTGGAAATAGGCTCATTTTACAACTCCCCCAGAGTTGAGTTTTACCGTTTTTGAATCCATTCAGCCGATCTCCGGTTCTGGCGGTACCACCTTTAGCATAGCTTAGCATACATCATTGGAGTGGACAAGACCATTAGCATTTCAAAAAAAAAAAAAAAAAAATGACCAAAGAGTTTCGATATTTTTCCTATTTAAAACTTGACTCTTCTGTAGTTACATCGTGGACTAAGACCGACGGAAAATGTAAAGTTGCGATTTTCTAGGCTGATATGGCTAGGAACTCTATATCCTGCGTAATAATCAAGAAACGTCACTGCCGTACCATGAGTGCAGCAGGCGTAATGATATGACGCAGCGCCTGAAAATAGGCCACCTTCCTTCAACACAACGGAACTATTTTCAGGCGCTGCGTCATATCATTACGCCTGCTGCACTCATGGTACGGCAGTGAAGTTTCTTGATTATTACGCAGGAATGAGAGTATAGTTCCTAGCCATATCAGCCTAGAAAATCGCAACTTTACATTTTCCGTCGGTCTTAGTGTACGATGTAACTACAGAAGAGTCAAGTTTTAAATAGGAAAAATATCGAAACTCTTTGGTCATTTTTTTTGTTGAGAAATGCTAATGGTCTTGTCCACTTCAGTGATGTATGCTAAGCTATGCTAAAAGTGGTACCGCCAGAACCGGAGATCGGCTGAATGGATTCAAAAACGGTAAAACTCAACAGTTTAACTCTGGGGGAGTTGTAAAATTAGCCTATTTCCAAAAAAAGTGGAGTATCCCTTTAAATGTGCGAACTAACCCTTTAATATGCAGCGAAAGAAACACCCAATCTGGCAACACCAGCCACCAGCGTCGCACTCGCACAAAAAGCATGAAGTCGACAAAGCAGGTCACTTTGATCATTTAAACGAGTTTTATGACAAGGTCGGTGAGGATGAGAAAAATCTTACATTTCTGTGCAAACTTTGCCCGTCGATAAAATAATTGCTGTCTGTGGTTGACTGTACGTATATGGGCTGTGGCAATAATAAAAAAATAAAATAAACTCGCAGCAACATATGGAAAAAAAAGAACAATGAATTAGTTCATTTTTGGAACTGTGAATTTAGTTCAAAATTTTGAAGTATGAACTATGAACTGACCTAGTTCATTTTAAAATTTGTAAACTGAACTTTGAACTAGTTCATGTGTACTTTCCCAACACTGAACCAGGATCAGATGAACCAACACAGTGTGATTATGATTCAGGCAGCATCACGAGTCAGAATTCAAATTGTGGAGCAAACAAATATTACTTCCAGTTCCTTTTGCTTGGAGATCGATTCATCACGCCAGTATTGAGATAAAGCTAGTCATGGAGTCTGTGCTGAAGACTTGTCTGGTTCTTGTGGTCTCTACTGAGGATCTGTGCTGATATCTGTTGTTTTGACGAGCGCTTCACAGGGGAGAGTCTATTGACACAGTCTCTGCTGACACTTCAGGGCTGTGTTGTGGTCGTGTCTAGGCGCAGGTCCTTCATCTGATCTGGATACGGTCCGGATCCGGCTGACTACGGCAACCTCAAGATAAACAGAGAGAATAATATTAGTGTAGATGCCATTCTTCTTATGATCTAACGAGTACATCAGGTGTTATAGGAAGTGTCCCCGGTTCTGGCTGACCTAATTTATGCAGCCTAATAATCATTTAACTAATATGAATGATAGAAATGTGATAATGTGTTATGTGTGTGCCACTTTAAGGAGATGTGTTTTAGATTCAAACTGACAGAGTAGTCATTTTATGAAAAAAGGTTGAACAAATTGCAACAGAAGCAAACTCAACTGATTTTGTATCCTCAATATGTCCTGAGTAAGGAAAAAAAAAAGCCCAGAAGAATCCCATTAGGGGAAAGTTTAGAAAAAGACCCAAATATAGCCTATTCATACGCATATTCATTCTTTTTCTCACGTGAATAGGGTAAATATTTTAACCTTTAGACATCACCATGAAAATTACTGAGTTGATTACTTACATAAAGACAAACAAAAAATGTATTACAAGTTTTTTTTAATTGTTTGTTAGCGGTGCATAATCTAATGATGTATGTGCTAATTTGCATAAATAACACAAAATATCTAAACATTGGGTGTAGCCAGGTGAAGATGTCTTGTTGAATCAGCAGTCGATTTTGATCAATTATCAACTAGCCAGAATTTTGAAATCACAATAGACGTGAAGGACTATAGTGCGTTAAGAGCTCGCTCAAGTACTGGGGAGCTAAACCATTTAGTGCTTTGTAAGTATTTGCAAGATTTAAAAATGAATGCAATTTTAAGTAGGGAGCCAATGCAGTGTTGACAGAACAATGAAATAAGAAATATAGAGCTGAGTATCATCAGTGTAACAGTGAAAACTAATGCATGCTTCCTAATGATATCTCCCAAAGGTACAGAGTGAACAGCAACGGTCCTAGTACTGAGCCTTGCTGTACACCTCTTCATTTACTGCTCTATATCCATCTTAAGATCCCTAGCCCAATCAGAATTAAAGGGATGGCATCTGAATAAGGTGTTGTAGGATTGAAAATAATCCAAGACATTTGAAATTAACAAAGACACATGCTTTACTGTGTTCCACCCCTTCTTTTAACCACAAGGACCATTTGGAGTTCCCAAAGACACAGAGGGGCTGATAGTGATCAAGGCCTGTAGGCCAAGATTTGTGTACTTTGGGGGTCTATGAATTGTC